TACATGTATGACATTCGCAAAAAAAAACCGCACATGTCAGCCGTAGTTTCACTTCCATGAAATCAGCGTTGCGTTCATTGAAAATATCCAATTTGATCTATGCAAGTGGCATTCAAGGTACAATGCAACCTCGTCAATACAGCCTGTTCAATGAGTCCACATGGCGGAAATAAGGGTAATAAAGAGGTGGGTATTACACAAAATTTCGCTTCTCTTAGACGAGATGAATTGTCGGTAGGACAGTTGATACTCTCTTAATGGACACAATAGCTTAAAACTCCTGCACAAAGTGTGTTTTTACATATTCTCCTATGCGATTCCTGTAAGCGAACAGATGTTGGACCATTTCATTAAGCTCAACCTACACTTTTGTTAATGTCGGAAGTACCATGAACGGACACAGAAAGGAGACACCCTATTAGCCTCAATCTTATTTTCAGTAAGCAGACTCTTCTGCGGCTCATAACAGTGCAATATTCCAGCCATCGCACAGCTACAGAAACTTTATCTACAATCCGTGGGTCTCCGACTGTGAGAGCTCGGTATAGTGGTTCGAATTTGCTAATCTGTTCCATGAATAAAAATAATAGATATTCATAAAATGAATGTATTTCATTTTTCGTCAAGAAACTAAACCTTGCAAAACCCAGTAACCGGAATGTTGTTTCCGCTTTATTGGAAATTGTTTTTGAAACACACACACAAAAAAGGTATAGCAGGCTTACGTACGTGTAGCTTTTTGTTCAGACGTCCCAGCACCGTCTGTTCGCCCAGCAGAGGAAGCCGCCAATGATGTCTGAAAGGGAGTTGCTGCGAAAAGAAGAGCGAACATAGAAATAAACGCCACCTTTCTGTAGACAAGCACAAAGGGGCTACCCCAGGTTTTCTAAAAGGGGCAGGAGCTTCATCTTGTCGGAAATAAATTAAACTCCAGCCAGAAACATAAGTTATATAGCCATTCAGAACTCACGCGCATGTCATGTTTAAGAAGGCAAAAGTTAAGTACAAACATTGGAAAATACAACCGACTTCTGGATGTATCTTGTGGGCAGGTAAACTTCTATTCGGTGAGGTGCTCTCAATCAGGTAGCCTTTTTAATGACAATTTAATAACAATGACATTTGAAATTATTATGTAAAATATTGGAAATTTAAAACTTGGAAAGGGGAGAATCCGGAGGCCTTGCAACACGCCCCTTGAAAACAGGATAACAAAAAGAGTCATTCCATAGATCACCTTACACCGCGACTCTTCCTAAACCTTTGTGCTCTTTGGCAAGGTGACCACAAGTGTAGCAGTCTCTCATATTTGCTACCTGGACAAACTGCGAGCACTTGCACACTTCGGAACCCACACATCCTGACATCGCCCCCTGAAAATATGAGGAGAAAACATGCAACCTTAAAAGTTTCGTTTTTTATTGTGACTACTACAACGTCTTACACTAATTTAACTATTAGAAATCATGTAGGTAACCAATGGGTTTCCAACAAATTATCCATTTAATGAAGCTATACATTACAAAGGCAACAGATTTGTGGTTCTAGTTAGGTGTCCGGGATTCTCCACTGCTAGATGACACGATAATTTGCAAATAATTTGCACTAGTGGCCTTGCTCGGAGTAGTCGCACTGTCAAAGCCTCCAATTTTAAACGCAACTCAGTGTATCTTCCAAAAGCATCAAGTGAATAATTTGTAGCATTCTGCAGTGTGTGCATCATAGCTGTTTCACTAATTCAGGCTTTCGTGTTTGAGTGAAGATTTTTACAGCGATAGAAACCTTATACCTTTTAAAATCACGATAGCTAGAAATATACCAAATGTTGCATGCGAGCTCTAGTTGGCAAAAGAGGACAACTTGGAAGGGACCCATAATTTACTTATGTGCATCGAGGAAGGACACGAACATTTGCTGCATTTGTTTGTGTCTTGCTTCTCGGTAACCCAGACACGTGCACAGAGTACAACAACCCCTTAACACCCGTTTGTGGTCAACAGTTGCAGCTAAAGAAGAGAAGCAGTATTATATGGGAACTGTTCACAAGATAAACCCAAAGAGAAAGGTGAGAAAAAAAAAAGAAATATCAATTTCCCCTACCTGAAATCTTTGTATTTGCCATGTTATTCTCCCAAGTAATAAGTGAACAAACAGTCGTAGCATTGGTGTTACCGAGATGCGTGACTATGCTGAATGAACGGGAAAGCAAGACCAAGCAACAAACACGTGATGAATACTGCCAGCAAAGAATGATGGTCTACACTAAGCGATTTCATTTACATTTTTGTTTTTGTTTTGTTTTTGATAAATTGCATTTTTGTTTTTTTGTTTTTTTTTACTTTTGTTTTTGTTTTGCTTTCTGTTTTTTTTTTGTTGTTGCTGTTTTGCTTTTTGTTTTTATTTAGTAATTTTTTTTTATTTTTGGATTTTGTATTCCTTTTTTTTCAATTTCACATTTTTTTTCCACTGTTTGCATTTTCGTTTTTGTTTATCTCAAAACCAAAATCTGAAAATGAAAAAGAAAACCAAAAAAAAACAAAAAACAAAAACTAAAGTTAAAAACAAAAACAATACAAAAATGAACAGTAAAAAAACAAAAAGCAAAACAAAAACAAAATTTACTTAAAACAAAACAAAAACGGACGTTAATAAAAGCAAAACAAAAACGAAATTTACCGAAAAAAGAACAAAAATGGTTGGTGACCCTTCTGGGCTGCCATAATGTCACGCACCGCCTATCAGATTAACAAATTAACCCTTCTGCACAATGTACGGGTCTCCATACATCTGCATGTCCACTGATCCCAGAAGTTCAAAACACAACAAATCATGCCGATATGAAATAAAATCAACACAACCTGGATCACAGATCTATGTTACAATTGATCGCTACTTGTTGGCCATTATTATGTTTAAATGAAAAAAGCCGAAACTATCTAGTTACCAGTTTGAGAAATGCGAGAAGAATGTGATCGCAATGCATGCCGGGAAGGGTTTTTACACCGTGTGCGCGGGAAAACATGGCGGTCGATACAAGACAAATTTTATAAGTCTAAAAGCAGTTCTTGCTTTCCAAACTTTGACGCTAGCAACACTTGGCAATTGGGCCACGACTCACCAGAGGGTATTTTTCTTGGGCAAGAACTGCTCTTGGACTTTGCTGCCTGGCTTGATCTCACTTCGAACGCCAATAACGCGATTACAGTATATCAGCTGCCTTCAAAGTTTCAGAACACAATTTGATTCTTTAAAACATGCTGATGACTTACGGGTTTATCGAGACTTCATGATGCCTCTCAACCACCAGGCAGGCATACAAGGTACATTAAAACAATGCTTAAGATATTAGTTGACAGAGCCCTAATGCGGCACATCTCTTTTTTGTTTGATGAATTTCGTTTGACACTCGATCGATTCACNACACTAGCAACGCTTGGCAAATGGGCCACGACTCACCAGAGGGTATTTTTCTTGGGCAAGAACTGCTCTTGGACTTTGCTGCCTGGCTCGATCTGACTTCGAATGCCAATAACACGATTATGGTATATCAGCTGCCTTCAAAGTTTCAGAACACATTTTGATTCTTTAAAACGTGCTGATGACTTACGGGTTTATCAAGACTTTATGATGCCTCTCAACCACCAGGCAGGCATACAAGGTACTTTAAAACAATGCTTAAGATATTAGTTGACAGAGCTCTAATGCGGCACATCTCCTTTTTGTTCGATGTATTTCGTTTGACGCTCAATCAATTCACATGTTGTGTTCACGTCACAAGAACCGCTGTAAATAATCTGTTCCCAGATTTCCGCTCTATATATGCTGTGAGATTTGATGTTGACCTCATACACTATAAACAACCTGCCTGTTTGCTATTCAACAAATGAACTCCTAAAGACATGGCTAGGGAAAGCCAATTATTTTGCATATGTTATAACTCGAAAACGAAGCAAAAACCAATGACAAAAATACAGGGCCGCGTTTTTCTATTACATTGAAGACCACATGCAAAAATTCAAGCCCTGTGGTGAAATTTTTTTTTTCACCCAAATCGTCACTTAGCATGGTTTTGCGCTCACCCCTTCAATTATGGGTACTCACTTCACATAATTACAATATATTTCTGCCTTTTACTTTTTTTTTCTTCTCCGCAAGCAACCAAACAAGCTTTGCTGTTTTATCAAACAGCTTAACTGCTCGTTAAAACGTACCAGCTAGTGATTGACATTCCTTCGGTTGCCATCATTTTTGAGAGAAAGGTGAAAGAATTGTTGATGATCACTTTCGCCCCCAGAACAAAACTTAGCATTTGATAAGGATCACTATAATCAGAAAACATTAATTAATTTCACCTTTCTGCTTTAAAGGAAGAAATACTTAACTTAAACTCTTAACTTTCAGACACTGGATCTGTTTTGCATGAATATTACCCTTGGTGCGATTTGGTATATTCCTTTGACTCATACACATTCTAATATGTGACCGTGAACTGGAAAACGTACCTTAACGCTTATCCGTTATACAGGCAAAAGTGTTAAGCATCCGTTAGTCATCCGTTAGAAAGTTTTCTTAAAAATGTTAGGGGCGTTAGCCCAACCGTTAGACGTTAGCATCAGGCTGTTAGAACGGAGAGTGCAACCGTTAGCAAGAGACATGTATCCGTTAGCCGTTAGCATCAGACCGTTAGACGGGACAGCATAACCGTTAGCAAAAACT